GCTGCTGCTGCTGCTTCTGCTGTTGAGGAGAAGATGCTTGCGGAACTTGGTCATCCTTGCGGTCCCAGCCGTGATGGTCTGGAGGAGGATGATGTTCTGGAATCAGAACCCACTCGTGGATCCATACTGGCTTCCAAATCTTCTTCCACGCAGGAACCCAAATTTTCTTCCAGTCTGGAACCCAGATCTTCTTCCAAGCCTCTTTCCACACAAGTTTCTTATCAGGTATCCATATTTGTTTCTTCTCGGTTCTCCACACCTGTTTCCAAGCTTCTTTCCAAACGAGCTTTTTGTCTGGAATCCAAATTTGCTTCTTTTCGGTTCTCCAAACCTGTTTCCACGCTTCTTTCCAAACAAGCTTTTTGTCTGGAATCCAAATTTGCTTTTTCTCCGTTCTCCAGATCTGTTTCCATTCTTCCTTCCATACGAGTTTCTTATCTGGAATCCAGATTTGTTTCTTGGCAGTTTTCCAGATTTTTTTCCACACAGGTTTCCAAACCACTTTCTTTCTCCAGAGCCCATGGGATGTGTATTCCCAGCCGTCATGATCTTTGCCGTGATGTTTCTCCCCAGGTACCCATTGTTTGACTAATTCCGGCACCCATATTTTCTTCCACGCGGGAACTTGAATATCTTTCCAAGCAGGAATTTGTATCGGTTTCCACACGGGCTTCCACACTTTCTTCCAATCTGGCACTTGTATTTCTTTCCATCCAGGGATTTTGGTAGGGACCCACACCGGCTTCCAAATCTTTTTCCAGTCAGGAACTTGAATTTCTTTCCAAGCAGGCACCTGAATCGGTTTCCACACTGGTTTCCAGATTTTCTTCCAGTCCGGAACTTTTATGTCTTTCCACGCAGGTACTTGAATTGGTTTCCATTCCGGCTTGTATATCTTTTTCCACGCTGGTTTCCATATCTGCTTGGATGCGGGTTTCCATATCTTCTGCCAATCGGGTTTCCAGATGAGTTTCTTCTTCCAGTACCCCTTAGGTTCGTGGTGGTGGTGTTCTTCTACGTGGTGGTGGTGTTCTTCCACATGATGGTGCTCCTCCCCGGAGTGATGGAACAGTTCCCTTGACTGCTGGTCGTCCCCAAATTGGTGCAGAAGTTCCCCGGAGTGGTGTTGCTCTCCGGAGTGATGTTGCTCCTCCCCGGAGTGGTGTTGCTCCTCCCCGGAGTGATGGAGCAACTCCCCGGAGTGGTGTTGGTCCTCTCCGGAATTGTGAAACAACTCCCCGGATTGGTGGGGCCCTTCATCCCATCTCTTCAATCGCGGCTGCGTAGTCCTGTAAGCATAAAATACAACGGAATCTTTAGTTTGTTCTTTTCACCAAGTGTAAGTAGT